TCTCCTGGAAACCACACATCTCCCAAATTTCCCGTCGTACTATCTCTACCCTGAAACAGTTTAACCATCTCCGCTATCTCCTTCCATATAAATCCCGTCAACTTCTGGTTTCCTCCATTGTGTTCCCCCACTTCGACTATGGCTGTCTGGTGTACGGCGGACACTCGGGAGAATTCGTGGCCAAACTTAAACGCCTAATGAACTGCGCAATACGTTTTGTTTTCGGAATCTCAAGAGATACGCATATAACCCAGTATTACACCAAGTTGAAGTGGCTATATCCATCCAACCGCCGTTTGTACTTCCTTGCCACTTTTCTATACCAAGTCATCAGAACTCAGCGGCCTTCCTATATTTTTCACAACCTACAATTCAAATATTCCATTCAATCACATCTCACTAGATCTCGTACCTCCGACCTCTATCCACCTCCCCACCGAACTGCAGCGTTTGACAAATCCTTTATAATTCAAGCCGTCTCCTTCTGGAATACCATCCCTCCCGATATCCGACATGTACAATCAGCTTCCTCATTTAAATCTCTCCTTTTTAACCACCTACTCCTTTCCCAACCCGATTGATCATGAAATGTAGATAAGAGAACTTTTAAAGTTCCCCCAGAAATGATTTTCTTTACTTATGCTACTTTATTTTATTATATAGTTTGTATTATACATATCAGAATGTTTTTAGTGTAATAGTTATATTTTTTGTTTTATTAAATTTTCAAAATCGTAATATTAATAATAAATGTAAATATGAGAAGGAGTTAGTTGAGGGTGTGGTCAAATAAATAAAAAAATTAAAATATATAAATAATTTTAATTTTTGCCGACGTTTCGACCCACTTTGCAGGTCGTCTTCAGGGCTACAAAAGATACAAACATGTTGAAAAAATAAAATAAAAAATAAATATAAGTATATATAAATCACGAAGAAGTTGTCAGATACAGAAATAAAAGATAAAGAAAATAAAAAAATACATGATAAGAAAATAGATAAAAGAAAATAAATACATGAATGTTAACGAATAAATGAATGTTAACGAATAAATAGATTGAAAATTGAATAACTATTGTTACAGTAAAGTTAAAATATGGATATTTTGGATATATCCATATTTTAACTTTACTGTAACAATAGTTATTCAATTTTCAATCTATTTATTCGTTAACATTCATGTATTTATTTTCTTTTATCTATTTTCTTATCATGTATTTTTTTATTTTCTTTATCTTTTATTTCTGTATCTGACAACTTCTTCGTGATTTATATATACTTATATTTATTTTTTATTTTATTTTTATTTTTTCAACATGTTTGTATCTTTTGTAGCCCTGAAGACGACCTGCAAAGTGGGTCGAAACGTCGGCAAAAATTAAAATTATTTATATATTTTAATTTTTTTATTTATTTGACCGCACCCTCAACTAACTCCTTCTCATATCATATCAACGGTCAACCATCTCTACATCATTATAAATGTAAATAATTAATTTTATGTATGGCCTCACAGGCATTTATTCTGTATCTGTAATTTGTCCTAAAGGGACAACAGTCCCGTTCCAGGATAATAACAAATATTTTCATTTCATTTCATTACTTCTCTTCTCTTAAATAATTTCGGAACTTTTTGGGAGGTTTATGGATAGTCTCAACTCACATAGTATCCTTCGAATTAAAATGATTGCCCTTTTCCTAGCTAAGAAATAATCGTGGAATTTCTAAAAGAACTGGAAATAACAATAATTGCGAAATAATTGTAAAAAAAAAAACGTGGAGATTTTATAACAGATATATTGATATATCGGGAAATGTCTCAGAAATAAGTAAGAAATCATCTTCATGCAAACTTCAGTTTGACTCAATGGAGTTATACGGTTTATTTATTATAGTTTCAAATAAATTAATACAGAATTGAGGACTTAAAATGCATATAAGCATATAAATATTCGTGATTTCAGGACAAGTCCTGAAAAACTTCAAGTTATAACGCTGCTGCATCATATGAACGATGTGTACAAATTAACTTTTAAATTCCAAAAATTGTAATCTTTTGATTTTTTATTATACTGTGTTTACTTGAAGTGATTAATTAAACTGGTGTAGGAGGACCAGGAATTTAATATATACAAAGGTTACGAAGAAAAGAAAACTTTATTTTCTCAAAAGCTATAAAATTTTATCTAAATTCTTTAGAAAATTAATTTTTTTTAAAAATGTTTGTTAGTTACGTAGTTATATCTTAAACTGCCCTCTCTTACAATACCTTAATACAAACATTACTGTTTAGTGAAATAAATTTCCTACAAATTCTATAAACAATCACTGATACCAACACCAAGGAATCGGGATGCCAAAAAAAATTAATCCGCAAAAATGTTACAAATGATTCCATATTTTACTACTGATTCCTTCATTCTTTTAACAATGGTATTATTTATAACATAGAAATATGGTTAATTAACTTATGTTAGTTCATAGACGAATAAATTGCAGTTACATTTAGTTTGATTCAGGTAACTGAGGTTCGTGGAGCTCGGAATGAGTATTTGTCTCTTACCTACATGGATAGGTAGGTCTTTTCCCACCACTTTGACTATACCTACGTAGCCGATAGGCATTCCTATTTCTTGTCATTGTCTGTTATACTTAATTATTAAAAGTGCCATAATCTGACCTATGATCCATATGTGTAGCGGTATCAATAAAACTCCCAGGGTCTTAGTAGTTGTGCAAAATGCTCCTGTAATTCCAATGCACACAATTCTTTGTATAACACAAAGCGTTCGCAAATGGGAAGTCTTATGTAGGGCTGTTAACCACAAGACACTTCTATGTTGTATCGCAGGCGGATCTGCGAGAGGGGAGAAAGGGGACCTTTCGAGCTGAAGCCCCCCAAAATGGTAAAATATAACCATGTTTTATAGAAAAAATATTAAACAATTATCTCTTAAAGTATTATTGTTAATGTAATTACATTGAATAGGGCTTAAAGAATCACCTAAACATTATTTCATATAGATATTTAGTTTATTTCTTTTTTTTCCCTAAGTAATTACCGTTATATATATGAAAAAAAAACAGCTTTCAGCGTGAATCCTCTTTCTCCCAAAATTAAATCCTGGGTCCGCTAGTGTTGCTGTGTACATCTAATGCATAATTTTTGTGTTAAATCCAAAGGAAAATAAAATTTTTAAATTTTCTCTTTTATTTTATAAGTCTTTCAAATTTTTATTTTTATATTATTTGTTTGGTTTTATTTCAGTCAAACGTAATCTAGTTTTGAATTTGATATATGCATAATCAGTTTCTCCCCCTCTCCCCCCACTTCAGTTTTGATATGAATAGGGTTATTAATAATAGTGTTTAATTTATTATTACTATTAGGTATTAAATTGTTTAGACAATATGTATATAGGAATTTTATAGGAACGTTTATATAAAATATAGATATTAATGCACTTTTTTTTCAAACCCATATCTCGTACTTTAAATAAAACACTTTCTTCTTTTTTCTGGGAAGCTGTATCTTATTCTTTATTGAAAAACACTTTCCTTCTCGACTCATTACTTTAAAAAAAATTAAAAAGATTTTAAAACGTTTTGTCGGAGGGAAAGCCTTGCCCCTAATATTCTTGGCACTAGCAGGTCCAGGATTTAATTTTTGGGGGGAGGGTTTCAGCCCGAAAGCTTTTTTTTTAAATATATATAACGATAATTACTTTGAAAAAAAAAAGAAACTAACTACCTATATGACATGGTGTTTAATTGATTCTGGAAGTCCTATTAAATGTAATTACACGAACAACAATTCTTTAACAGATAGTTTTTAATATTTTTTTCTACAAAACATGGTTATATTTTATCATTTTGGGAGGGGGGCTTAAGCCTGAAAGTCCCCCTCCCCATAGATCCACCTGTGCTTCTTGTCACTTGAGCTAGTCATCATGCTTCATTCCAGAGATGCTCTGAAGGGAGTTTCACAGCGCAAGTTGAGTCATCAAAATTTTTCAGGGAATTTTGAATTTTTGAGGGAGAGGGGAGGGCACGTTTCAACGGGGTTATGAATTTTCGGAACGAAACGTTTCAAAAAAGGAAACTAGAGAAAAAACACGGATCAGGCCGTTTTGAATTTTTTTTTTTTAGTGATGTATAATCTACAATTTTTTAAATTCTACTTTCGCTTGCACCGTTTTTAAGAAGAGTAGAGCAATAACATTTCTTGGGAGTGGAGGAACCAGTTCGTGCGCCATTAACCTTAGGGGAGGGAGGATGGGCACCCCTGCTTCATTAAACACAAAATAGATACATTTTAGTAATTAAATAAAACACATATTGAGCCACAGCATTTTTTTTTCTATTTAGTAAAAAAAATCTTATTAAAAAATAAAACTACTGTACTTTGGCTTCTGAAACTCAACACGACTCGCCCAAACATATGATTGTAGATAGTTGCCACTATTTAATCTTTTCCTAGTGTATATTATTTTTTAAAATATATCTTTAAGGGCTAGTTGCTCCAATCTTAGTAAAGCTTAGATTAAGCATTATCTAAGATTAAACGAATTGATATATTGGCCAACATGCCCATGTATAAAGCCACAAAAATAAACAAAAAAAAAGATTAAACCAAGTTTAATCTTGATTGGTCGATCTTAGAAAACTTAGCTTAATCTAATCTTTACTGAGTTGGAGCAACTGCCACTAAACGTAACAATAAATTAAGCAATTAACATGATTAATTATGATTCAATTATTTAAATAAAAATTTGTATCTCATTATTTTTACTCATTACTCTTTTTAGCCTAAATGAGCTTTAAAATTTTGTATTTTAAATTAGCATTTGCAATGAAAAATTAATAGTAACAAAAGTCACAATCAACTTATATAAAAATCATTTGTACATGATACGTCATTATTATACATCGATTATTTTTATCCAAAGAGATAAAACGGAAACTACGCTTGCAAAGTAAGTATTTAATAAACGAATTACCGAAGTGATTTCTTGACAACTGAAGTTCAAGGAAAAACCGAAATTAGTTATGAAATACTTGAAAATTTCACCCACATGATTGAAATAATAATTAAAGAATCAGATGTTATAATTAAATTCTTAATATTTTTAAACTATTTTCCTAATTTTATTATATTACTCAGTTAACGTGAATAGATTATGAATATACTGCCATTTCGTCTTTATACTTTAAGGGTGAGATAAATGAAATATTACAGCTTCAACAAAGCGTATTCGTGAATTCTTTACGTATATATTATTTAATGATGTTTCATACAGGTAATCAGCGTTAAATATTTTTCTAAAACATCTACTAACCAAACAGAAGTAAAATTTGGTGCAGAATGCCGCCAGTTAATGATGCAAGGATTGGATATATTAGCGGATGCTGTGGCACTTACTTTAGGCCCAAAGGTAAATTATTTTATATAACAGTTACTGTCAATTGTACTTTATATTTTGTTCGAACAGTTAGAATTAAAACTCTAAGCTCCTAGGACAAGAGTTTTTACAATACCTCTATTCATACCATCGGAAAAATGATTGGCCGAGTAATTTACCTCGAGAAAATGTTGTTTATATTTAAAAAACATCTAATATGAAATGAAGACTTGACTCATAAACATATTATTTAATATTTAATGCTCCCTGGCATTGATTGAAAGGTCTAGGTGATAGAAAAGCCAATACTTAGTAGAAAAATACTTTTCTGTATATAACTAAAATCTAATTAAAGATGGCATTGTTTTTTAATACTTTTTGTTATATATTTTAAAAGTGCAGGATAACTTTTAGAATTACTGTTGCTTAATTATTTAAAATGAGATGTTAGATATGTTTTATTTTTTATGTTGAATATACGAAATCATTCATGTATTTGTTTCTCTTTATATAAAGCGAGAAAGAAATTCTGTGAGTATTGGGTTATATTCTAATTTAAAAATTCATCGCTTTAAGAAGTGACAATTTAAATGAACCGGACCTAATTTTGAGAATGCTTAATACCAATATACTTCGAAGATAATTTATAGAGAAAAAAGGAAGAGACCGGGACCGAGATACTACTGACCTGAATACACTCTTCAAGCTAAGAATATTAAATAGATTTTTTAATTTAAAAGTTAGCTTTGATTAGACGGCGATTAACACCTGATGTCCCTCTTTTTCGCCAATGGCCAGGACGAATTTGAGCCGAAAAAGGTGTTTCGAGGGATGATAATGTCACTATGGGCCTGCTATGTGTGTGGTGCTTAAAGTGGACTTCAAAGTCCGAATATACGGCCATCTGCGCTAAGAGCGCCGGTCATCAAAAGAGGGCGTTTTTAGATATCTGAGACCTTACTTTGACCCTTCTGGAAGCTCAGAAATTGATAAAAGTAGAACAAGCTAAAGCCACATAAACGCTCCATCCTGTCTTGTGGAACGACACGACTCTAAAAGAAAACAAGCGAAGTATATACCACGCCATTCTAGTAATTAGAATCCGTTCTTAATTATGCACCACGAACTGGGCAGTCAACCACATCCTCTATTCAATGCCTCAAGTTGTGGTGATGCATTTTTAGAGAAAATGTCTACCTGAGACAAGGATGGGCAAAATTAGGAATGATGTGGTTGGGGACAGGGCAGATGCCCAAGTGCCCCTTAACCAGAGAGTTGGACGGCTGGAGCTGTCCTGACGTGAAAAGGCAACCCTTTTTCAAACAGCTATATACAGTACTATAATATATTGAATAAAAGTTAGTTTTAAATTATATTACATACTAATAAAATTACATTTTGTTTTATTTATCTTTTAAATTAATTCCAGGGACGCAACGTGATTTTGGAACAGTACAACAGGCCACCGAAAATTACAAAGGATGGTGTGACTGTTTCCGAGAGTATAGACTTGAAGAACAGGTTCCAGAACATTGGTGTTAAGTTACTTCAAGAAGTTGCAAAAAACACTAATAAAAAGGCTGGCGATGGGACTTCTACTGCCACTGTAAATTTGAGTATTGAATAGTAATAAGTGTATCAATTTATTTGACAATATTTTACTGTTGGAAACTTTGTTAAAAGGTTTTAGCACGGAGTATAGCCAAAGAAGGTCTCAACCGATTTTCTCTTGGTTGCAACCCAATTTTTTTGAAAAAAGGTAAATTTTTTTTTTGTTTAGAATATATTTAAGGTTCTGAGTAACTTGTGAAATAAATGAGTAATTTATTAGAAAGTCGATCGATCTTTTTATAACCATTCTATTGATTTTGTTTTCAAGTTAAATAATCGGGAGAATTAATTTTTGTTTTATTACATTTTAAAGCCACAAATACGCGGTTCATTATCGCCTTATATCATTAAGGATGAGAAAGAGGTTGTCAACAACATTTGTATTATCTTACAAAATGGTAAGTTGGCTGTTTGACAAGTCACTAGGTATCTAAGTGATTCGTAATCTTGGCATTATGTTAAAACGTGTTTTATAGTCCGTGGATTCCCTAATACTTGTAATGTAGGCATGGAATCGAGGGGCACCAGGTATCCATGTCAGGCGTGTGTGATCTTTACGCAGGCGAAGAATTCATTCAATTGCAGATATATGGAATTTTCATTTATTGGATCAAAATAGTCCACTCATGTCAATGCATGAGTTTGCTTAAGTTTTTATGTATCATAGCTCATCTTTAACGGAAATGCATATTACATATTTATAACACCTGTTTATGGGCAAAAATATACCAAAACTAGATAAAGCCATCAACGGTAGTTTCTATTTGAAAAAGTAATAACAACTTCTTCGTTGCGTTAGCAGTTATTACTAAGGGTGAAAATAATTAGATTCTATCCGGTCAATTCCTTTCCAGATAATATTGTTGAGACTATGAATGATCGATAAACGCTTCCTTTATTTCTATTTACTTTCTGTTTTCAATACATTTCAGTAAGATGATGCTGCATAATCTATCAATTATTCCTGTGTGGTTTGTCACAATATTTCTAATGCCGTTATTATTAATTCACTTGTTTGGTGGGCGATTAGCTATGATTAATTTTCCTTTCCTGGTTCCAGGAGTGGATAGAGCTGTAGAAGTAATAGAAAAGAAGTTGGAGGAAATTTCAAAACCTGTCTTGACTCAAGATGAAATAGCTCAAATCGCTACTATATCAGCTAACGGTGATAAAGATATTGGCCAACTAATAGCAGATGCAATGTTCAAAGTATGTACTCCTTGATGATTACTAATTTTGTTTTTTGAGTTCATCGATCTGAGGTCGGAAAGTAAAGACATTAGTCAAGCCCGGATTTCAGAAGTTATAGTAGGACAAGTTTCTAGGCTCAGCGCTCAGTTTAGGAACTTGGCCAGAGTATAATAGTTAGCCAAACGTAGTTATCTGAAATGAAGCTGATATGCATAGCATAAATAACAATATTATTAGTAAGCTTTAGCAATATTATTGCTTCTTTAATTAAAAAAAAAATATTAAAATTATAAAAAATTGAGGCAATAGCCCTAGAGTAACGCTGCGAAGGAAGATTTTAGGTTGGGCTTCGGGCATTACTAAGCCATCCTGTTTGAAGTTTATTCTACAATGATGAAGATGCCATTTATTAAAAAAAAATGTCTATTTTCAATACATAAAATTTTCATTTTTTCGATTCTGTTTTTTTTTTCCTTTAAGACCAGTTTCAATGAAAAAAATATTATAGTTATTATTTATACCTAGTTCTGTTTACAGAAAAGAGGAAATACCTAAATATAACTTTCTGATATTAACATTTTCTGGTAGGTTGGTCGACATGGGGTGATAATGATAAATGCTGGAAGAATGATAAAGGATAAAATTGAAGTTACAAAAGGAATGAAATTTGACAAAGGCTATATCTCTCCTTATTTTGTCAACACGAAAAAGAGTGGGTAATTGACTTGATCAGCCTTCATGAATTTTATAAATGATCCAATAATTATCAAAATAATTTTTAGGTGCCAAAGTGGAATACCGCAACCCTTATATCCTTTTTTGTGAACACAAGATATCAGAAGCAAAGCCTCTGGTTAAAGCTCTTGAAATAGCATTGTCAAGAAAAAAGCCCTTGGTCATAATTGCTGAAGATATTGAAGGGGATGCCCTCACAACATTAGTCATTAATCGGTAATTGTGACTATAGCTTTCTTGGTTATTTGTGTGAGGTATATTATTCATATTCATTGTATTTTTTAATAGACACAATCTATTGAATGTACTTCATTAATGAAAGTTCATCTCTGAAATTTATCAATGAAAAAATTCAAATTGTTGAACCAAATACCCCTATGAATTTAATAATATTCAACGTATTGGTCAGAGAGATTGTTGTGATTAGTTTCGATTGCAACTTTTAAATCAGATTAGTAATAATAATGCTTTATTTATTCTGGGACAATTCCCTTTAGAATAAAATACAGAAACAGAAATGTGGGCTTCGGAGCCTCACAGAATTATCACAAAAAATTAAAACGAATATACATAATAAATAAAAAAGTATAAATTGTCTTCTAACTTCTCAATTAAAAAAAAAACATGATATAAAAATATTTAAGATCACCTTAAAATTTATTTACGTATTTAAAACATCTATTTACAATTTTATGGGGCTTGAACGGATAGGAGGTGATTGAATATGCGGGATTTAAAGGTAGGGAGGGTATTGGAGCGACGGGTGCAGGAAGATCTGTTAATGAAAGATCTGTTGGAGGCAACGATTCAGTGGCCTTTTATATACAAATCTGAAGATTGGGAACGAGTTTTACGGGAGTAAACAGAGGATTTGAATTAAATTTCTAGGGTATATGAAGGACAATGGGATTGGATGACTTGGAAGAGGAAGGAAGCTAGGAAGTACTTACGATAGTAGGAAGGATAAAGCCACTTCAGCTCTTCATAAAAACGGGAGACAGAGGCTTCCTTTGGGAGCCCGAAGATGGATCGTACAAAACAATATATCAAACGTTTTAGTTTTGCCTCCAGATCCCCAGAGACGTCTCCATATACCGTACAGCAATAGTCAAAGTAGAAAAATATTAAGGAAGTGATCAGGAGTTTACGGGTTTCAAATAGAAATAGGTGGCAGAGGTAATTTAGACATTTTAAAATGGAAAAGGCACGGTGGGAGATGTTAGAGACTTTCCAATAAAGAGTTTGATCAAATGTTATTCCAAGGTTTCTACATACTGGAATCGGTCAGAAAGTAAGGATTTGAACCAACGCAGGACATTGTTGGATATAGGAAGATTTTCTAGCTTAGTAAGGAGGATGCTATGGTCAACTGTGTCAAATGCTTTTAGAAAAATCTAGGAAGATGAGATAGTAAGTCTTTGGTGTTCAATGGAATTTTGGAGGAGGATTATTTTTAGGAGTGCAGATTGAATTGAGTCGCAGGGGCGAAAACCAGATCGGAGAGGGTTGATTAGGGAATGTTCTTCTAGGAAGTTGGAAAGTTGATTTTGGACGAGACGTTTCAGTGGTTTTGAAAGGTTGGAAAGGAGAAAAATAAAACAGAAGTCGTGAAGTGAGGAAGGGTTTGAAGTTTTATTTAAAGGTCGGACTAGAACGGTTTTCCAGAAAGATAGGAATATGGAATTTTGCAATGAAAAGTTGTGAATATGGTAAAGTACGGGAATAAAGACAGGAAGGCAATAATCATTGGTATGAGATAGATTAATATGACTATTGTCCCCTAAAATTATTGTTAGACTGCATGAATATGCATCGTCTTTGTAATATGGCAGTCTTTAACATACGATGCACATAAAGTTGAGGAAAATAGCATATAGGAGATTTGTCATCTGGGTGATGTTAGTTATGTTTTCGCTTTATCAAAATGATTATTCATAAAAGAACCAATAGTTGATTAAACAGATTTCTCAAATTTGGTTTATTCCTTCATTAGGATTTTGAGGGAAGATAAGTTCTATCATGACATTACTCAATAAATAGCCATTGTTAACTTTACTAAATATATATATATATATATATATATATATATATATATATATATATATATATATATATGTATATATATATATATATAATAATAATAATAATAAATGTTACAATGACAGTAGATCTAATGGAAAGATTACTGCCAAGTAAAAAAAAAATAAAGAAAAAAAAGAATTAATAACTTGTTTTAAAAAAGACTAAAAAATGAACTGTTTTAATGAAGTCAGTATTACACTTGATGTGTTTACTAAACTGCATCCTCAATCGTCCTCGACTTGATTAAATAAAATTAATTTGAAATATATTTTTATCTTAGAATTTAGATTAAAATAAATAGTGTTGTTTATCCCAATATTTTGATACATAATTTTTATTAAGGATCCGGATCGGATTGGAAGTGTGTGCAGTAAAGTCCCCAGGTTTTGGAGAAGTAAGAACAGAAATTCTCAAAGATATGGCTATACTTACAGGTAAGTTATTTATACCAAGTTTTTTTTCTAATCACTATTTAGGAAATAAATAATATTTACAAAAAACTTCATTGTTAATTGCATGTATTTATTTTTTTATACCCAGTGACCTTATCAATATAAAAGTTAATAAATATTACATCCTTGTCTTAACAGAGTTATGGTGACATGTTTTAATTCATATATAAAATTATTTGATTATATTAAAAAAAAAAAAAAAAAAAAAAATGCTTTGTAAAAAAAAAATTAATTTTCTTTTATCAGGATTTTTGTTAAGTACATTAATGCAAACAACATAAATAAGTAAAAGAAAAAATAAATATTTTTGAAATATTACAATTTCAGCATATTACTTCCTTTTTTATTTGCAACTGAAATCAAATAATTTTATATAATATAATATTTCATAAATATCTATTTTTTCTTTTACTTTTATAGTTTTTGCATTAATGTACTTAACAAAAATCCTAATAAAAGAAAATTAAGTCTTGGTAATCCGATCAATATAATATTGACTCAAATTCAATTGCTCTGGATTGTAATATAATTCTGTAATCTTTTGCTTTCCACCCATTCATAGGTCAGTTTCAATTTGATCCTTTATGGATAACTGCACTTCTAATAAATAAATTTTATTTTAGGAGGAGAAGTAATTGGAGATGAAGCTGGAATTTTTCTGGATGAAGTAGCTGCGGAACACTTTGGTCAAGCTAGTGAGGTTATTGTAACTAAAAGTGAAACATTTATTATTAAGGTATGTTGTTACCAACAAAAATTTCAGAATTAACCTGTAAGTTTCTCAGCTTCTGTATTTGATCTTGTCTCAATTTTTTTTTCCATAGACATTAAAGTCACATTACTACTAATATTATTTCAGTAGTTATATATTTTATATAAACAAAGTTCTGCACTACTAAATTATAAATATAGTATTCATTTACCCATTTAAAATTATAAAACAGCGTGATAAGGGATTTATTGAAATGTCCATCTCCCCAAGGTCGATGGTGCAAGAACCTATACCCTCCCCCTCCTCCCAAGATATTTTATTGCTCACCTTCCGTAAAAACAGAGCAAGTTAAGTTAGAATTATCATATGTAATCAGATTATATATAAATACACTTGCTGCGGTCAGTTCCATGTGTTACCCTTGTATATTGGTCCAAAAATTAATAACCCTGTCAAAATTTGCTCCCCTAAATATACAAAAACCCGTCAAAATACACCCCTCCTCAAAGACTTTGATGAAATCCCGTGAAATCCCTTTCTGGACACCCCTGTTCTTCACTGTTCATAGAACCATATTGTCTGCATGCACTTGTTCATTATTGTTATGTTTACAATTCTGTAACTATTATTCTAACTAATCCCTCAAAAAAGTTTTTTTTTTTATAGGGGAAAGGTTTGTTACCTGCCATCAATCAGCGCATTGCTCACGTTGATCTACTTATTTCTCGAGCTAAGAATGATTTCATTAAGGAAGGTCTTGAGGAAAGAAAAGCAAGGCTTGACTCTGGAGTGGCCATTATTTATGCTGGAGGTTATTCTGAGGTATCAATAAAAAATTTGTATTTATAATTTTAAAATCAACATATTTTTATTGTCTTGAACACAATTATGGTAATTCCAGGTATGTAAATATGAAATTAGAATTTTTAAATATAAAGTAAACATTTATTGCATGTTAATGTTAAAACAATATTTTATTTGAAAGACTGTCCATCCATAGCTACAGATTTTTCCCTCCCCTGTGGCAATTTATGAATGCTATACCAGAAAAGCTGTTACTATTTTGTTGTGAACCAGTAATAAAGTCATTTTCTCACATTTCATAAGAAGTGAAGCACTTAATCGTGCCCCATGGATGTTAAAAAGTTGTAGGCAGATGGAGCCAAGTATAATAAGTAAGCACTATGCAGTAATATTTCCCAACTGAATGCCTCAATTGTTTCCATCTCTGGTTTTGCTGTGTGTGTGCTGGTACATTATCATGAAGCAAAATCACATAGTTTTGTATTTTCTTAATATGCTGGTTGTTTATCACATAATAGTCAATTTAAATAGATCATTGGTTGTCGATAGCGTTCACCGTCACATGTTCTGCCAGGTTGTAGCAACTCATAATAGATTACACCCATGTTCCAGGTTCTTCTTTTCTCATGTTGAAATTTGAACTTTTGAATTTTTAAACCACTCAAAGCAAAGTGATTTACCAAGGATATGATCACCATAAGCTTCAACAATCCTTTGACGTAATTCTGTTGCACTTTTCTGTAAATGGTAACAGAAAACTAATATTGTCTGGTAGTTTGTAGGCACAAAACTCGACAGTACTATAAAAACAATGCTGTTGTATAAAACTTTTATCTTAGCCAGCTGTTGAAAGAACAAAATGGCACCACTAATGGGGTTTCTCATTAACTACATTAATAACTATAGCCATCTATGAACTTTATATTTACACAGCTGATATTACTTAAACCTTCAGTGTATGGATTGAGGCCTGAGGTCAATTTGACTGCTGAATTGGGTGGTTTATGGCTAAGTAGCCTGTCTTGAACTAATCGGTTTCCTATTCTAATCTGAAATGTGTTAAAATCTAATATTTACATTACTTCTTACTTTGGTATGCAACTAGAACAGCCACGTATTTTGTTCTGTTGAAAAAACTTGGTTATGACAGATATACTATGCCATATTAAAAAGGATCCACCAACTTGCTTCCATTGAACTGACATTAATTAGTTTGTGATCACTTCTACAGTTGTCAAATATATCATTTAGCTTTGCCATGATATTTCTTCCATAGTAATGGAAATAATAATTTGTGGCATATGTAAAATATTATATGGTTTTGTTTTTTATTGATTGGCCATACCTGTTCTATGTATTTTCTAAATATAATATCAGTAGCTGAGCTTAATACAGTATAAGTTCACAGGCTTAGGAGATTTTAGAAATTTAATATTAGTCCATGACATACAATTTAAAACCAGTAAGAATCGTTTTCTACTCAAAATTATTTTTTTTTTAAATTTTATAATTTAGATTAACATTAAGTTCTAAAAGCACCTGTTGAGAATCTGGGTCCCATGTAGCAGACCAGTTAAATATTATCTGGTTTCTTTTCACCCATGGTCTGTGGCATCAACAATTTCTTTAACCTCTTTTTTGAATAATGTGCAATTGAAGATGAATTTAACTAAATATCTATCTATCAGATTAACATTAACAATCTTATCAATATTATAAATATTAGACTTCATAAATTCATCTCATTATTTCTTTCTACTATAGTAGTAGTAAATTTACAATTTAGAAATTATTTTAGTGGGATGTTAGTGAAAAAAAAGATCGCATGACAGATGCATTGAATGCTACCAAGGCTGCTGTTGCTGAGGGCATAGTTGCAGGTGGTGGAACTGCTTTGTTGAGGTGTTTGCCTGCTGTCAAAGAAATAGAAACTGATTGTCCTGATGAGCGATTAGGTGAGTTTTAGATTCAATGTTGTATATCGGGAGGCTGAGTGGGCTAACGCGTGTGCACAGCACCGCGCGTTGTCTGGTAACCCGAATAGAAGATAATGTGATAAAATAATATCGAGTTCGCGTCCTGGTGCCAAGGGAAGAGGGGTTTTTAACTCTGGAATTAATTCCCCACCCTCACCCTCTGGCCCAGGAAACCTCGGTATAGCCTAAAAGGCTAGGACAAAAAACAAAGATTGAAAGTTATTTTTGTGTTTGTAAAATATATTTTGTGTTATCCCTTCATCAGGATTCAGGGGGTTAAGAGCTTTATTACACATCCTATAACATCATCAATGTATTACTCCTGTGGGTGCTTCTCACTAAGTCGTCTTGCTTGCTTAACATATGAAAACAAGCCAATATATAATAATAATGACAGATAGTCCAAAACAAAGTATGATCAAATTGCTGAATGTTAAATGGGCTGTTTTATAGTCAGTTGGGGCACATGAGTTATCCCCATCATTGCATTCCAATTGATGCATCGCTTCATTAAATGTAGTAAAGACCGTACAATTTTATTAGCTATGAAAATTAAAATTTATTGATAAAAAGAGATATTTTGTTTTATTTCCCAAAAATGTATTCTAATGGAATACTGTCCTGTTAACATTCATCGATTCAATTAAAATCATCTGAAGTGAGATGAATTTTATTTTGGTTGTATAACAAAATATTTTTTTCTTTATATATTAAGGTATTAGATACAAATTTATTATAATAGACCCATATCTAATCCCAAAATACATACTAGTATTGAACTTGTTATAGGTAGGTGAGTTACTATGAGATTTAATATAAATATTTTTTAAAAGCATTCCGTTAACTATATGTAATACAATTACTATGTAACAAGATTTTGTGCATATATACGTATCTATAAGATGGTGTATCTCTATTTGGTTTCAAATTCAAAGATTACTGATTCAAAGTCTTGATATTGAATCACTATGCTATAAAATTTGAAGATCTTATAGAATCTTGTATGTTGGAGTTGTAGAATGCCAACCAAAGAAAATATTTCATTAGGAATAATTAAATCAAGAAGTGAATCCTCAAACAAATGTTCAATCTGATATTCATTAGAAGAAATTAGTTTTACTAATCTTTAACAACAATTACCTTGTGGAAAATGAAACGTTCACCTATATCTTGATTAAGAATTTATTCTGAGAGAATTTCATCCCCTTATAATTTAAGTTTCTGATAAAATCAAGGTCAATGTACATTTTTACTTATAAACATAACTTAAGTACTGGTATGCAATTACTCTTTATTGAATTTAATCCAACTTTAGCCTTTGTAAATTTTAATGTTGCATGTAAACTAATCAGTCTCTGGACAAAGGAAACTCAAGTTAACATTATTTATTTAAATTTTTCTGTATCTAAAGTTTTTTTTACCAATTGTGGCCAAAAGAATTTAATTTTAACTGTAAAATGAGACATGATGACATTCTTTCAATGATCCAGTTTTTTTTTATAACTGCGCAAATCAATGAAGAAAATTGAGATATTTTGATTTTCCTAACAGATGATTGATAAAATTGTTATTGAGACCTAATTTAATTCTGGGAGAAATTTTATGCAGTTAGATCATAAAGAAACATCATAAATTTAATAAACCATACAGTTATGGCAAAATTAGGGTTTGCTCGCTGAGATTATCAGAATTATTATTCAAAAGAGATTGTACAATAATAATTGTTAAGGATTATTTTACAAAATTTTCCACGATTGTCATTTAAAAATAGTGTAATACTCCACTGAGGAAAAAATACCTTAAAATAATAAATGAAAAATTTACATTTATTTATTTAATCTTTTAATAATTGTTTTCTTTCTCCTAGGAATTGATATTGTTGCAAATGCATTGAAAGTTCCTTGCTACACAATTGCTAAAAACGCAGGTATTGAAGGTTCTGTTGTTGTGAATGAGGTATGTAAAGAAAATTATAATCATAAAGAACACAGACAAGTAAATTTTTATTTGTTATTTTTTAGCCAAGCCCCTTATCTGAATTTTCATTTCAAAAATCATTTTCACTGTTTTTAGTCCTATAAGCGTGTACTGGTTGGAAGACAGACGATAATATAAATAGTGCAGAATGAGAAACAATAAACAAACAAGTGCTAATTTAAAAGAGTGATTACATTTGAATGGTTAAACCATAAAATTAGTTTGAACTCTAAAACTAATTGACAAGGATTTTCTTTACATTCTTTGACAAGGATTTGCCTTTTTAAAGTTTTGTCTGATACCATAGCACACTTATCATTATTAAAAATCTAGCGATTAAGTAGAATTTTTGGGGTTTTATTAAAATTTAGTTACGAATTGACTGGATCTTTGTTACAATAGTGCTTAAAACATTGCAATAATTCATAAGGGATAATATTTTATCATAAAAGATTTCATTCTGGATATATTCTGGACAGTGTCGGCCTTAGGGTGGAGCAACCAGGGCAATTGCCCTCGGGCGCCAGCTAATCTTTAGAGGCACTCACCACTTGTTAGAAATTAAAAAAAAAATTACAAAACCTATTGAAATAACTAATTTACATCTGTTCAGTATATCAAAATGAAATAACAAATGAGAAAAACATTTTTTTAATTTTAAGGATATGTGTTCTTTTGAAACTGATCTCATATATATAGTAGTAAGTCAGTAAAGTGATGTATATATAGTAAATAAAAATTAATTTATTTAAGGTATTGAAGGAATCTGGCAATATAGGATATAATGCGTTAACTGGAGAGTACACAGATTTGGTTGTCAGCGGTATTATTGATCCTACAAAAGTAAGCCACTGAATTTTTAAGTTTTATTTTCACTGAACATTGCAAGATACATACATGCTCAGTGCAAGATTTTAGCCAAGATTTAAAAATTATTTTTTATGATAAAATTGATTTCTTAATAAATAAGTTAGCCATTCCAAACTCCGTTTTAAAAGTCTATATAACAAAATCCCTAAAATTAACCTTTCTCTGTTTCCATAAAATTATTAACAATAACAATAAATTGATTTCATTCCAACATTTCACACCTTCTTGCTTAGCTGAACTCCTCAATTCTTAGTTTGGTGTTGCACAAATCAGATTATTCTATCCCTTAATTTTTATACCTTGAATGCCATATTCTTTAATGTATTTTTTAGAGAATGACAGATTCTGACGGTTCAATATTCGGTAATATGGTGATACATAGTTGAATTTTATTTCAAAACTCATAGGAAATGAACATAGCTCATGTAAAGACACTGTACCATTATCTATAACTATCATTTCTGGAATTCTATATTCGTAAATAGAAAAATTTCAACTGAAAAATGGTGCTGTTTTTCATTAGTAAGCTTAATCTGAAAATTTTAGCCTATCCAAAACTGCTGTTTATAACAACCATTACCTCTATTTGAATTCCAAAAATACTCATAAGAAAATAGTGATCAGCTGGAAGCAAAATTTCTTTTCCTCAGAGGTATTAACAAAACTTCTTAAAAGTAAAAATTATTGCCAAAGTCTTTTTTTCGATTTGGGGATTATTTTATTATATTTTTTGCTGAATTTGTTTATTTTGAAGCATCAGCTGCAGCAACAATTGGTTATTAATGATTGACATTGACCTTTTAATTAAAGACTGTTCTACCTATAAAATACTCTAATTGCTGGATATCTTTTAACTACCAGGTTGATTGTTTTCTCTCTTGTTTCTTCTTGGAAATAGTAAATTCCATATTTTTAAGCGATTTTTACAGAACTTTATACTATACTTGATGCAAACTCCAATAGATTCTATTTTTTTAATACGCTATATTTAACATCTCATAAATGCCTTGTATAAATATAGTCAGAGACTACCAAAACAAAGTATATTTTAGTGAAAACAGTAACTGGTGTGATGATTTTAAAAAAAAGACATGCTACCATACTATGTTGCTCTCAGGGTAAAATTTCTAAACACTGAACATCTCTCTTAGGTAGCCTCTTGCCTCTAATACATCTACTTCTTCAACTATTTCATAAAGTATAGATTTTTCTGGCATTGTCGCTGGTGATTTTATAAACAACAACTAATCCAAAATATTTTATTTAAACTGTTTATATAACAAAATACTAACATGATTCTTTTACTTTATGATCGTTAATAACAATAATCAACTAATTTGATTCAAATAAATCAGTAAATCTTTACGAACTAAATGAATTCAGGTTGTAAAGTCTGCATTGAGGACAGCTGCAGCGATTGCTACACTCTTTACTACAACTGAAGCAGTTATTGCTGATACAGGAGAGAAGAAACAAGACTACGAAGAAATAGAAGAAGACGAGTAATAAAATAAAAGATTAATAAAACTATTGATTTTATTTATACTAACTTCGTATTTAAGACAAAATTACGATTAAATCTGACACTATATTCACATCACACAACTTTGACGTACCACCCTAATTTGAGTAGAAATTAATTTATATATACAAAGGAAAGCCATGAAATGATATACATCTGGTCCTTAGTTGACCTATATTGTGATAAATAAACAAATAAACAAACATATATATATTGTGATATAGACCAGCTAAAGTGCATATTATTTTCTGGCTTTCTTCTCACACCTTCCTCATCTTCTCCTCCATCTGCTTTCTTATATATGTACTCTTATATAATACAGGAATTCACTTAAAAGCATGTGTAGTATAGTACATACATGCATCGATTTTATATTATATGAAATAAATTATATCTGATACACTAAATCGAAAATGTTAAATCTCTATACAGTGTTGAGTGTTGATCAAATAACTAAGAAATATTTGCTTAACAATTATGGGTAAAAGATTATAAATAAAAACAACAAATGGAAATTACTATAAAAAGGATAAAAGGAATATTATATTATATTATTATCACTTTTAATTTTATTCTAAAGATTCAGATTATTAATATTCATATAAAGTTGGCACAGCAACCCCTTGTTGGTTGGAGGTGAGCTTAGGCCTCCTCAAGCAGCCTCCACCAGAAGGCTTTGTCCTGTGCAGCAGCAGCCCACTTCCAAGTGTTCAGCAAGTTCCTTCCATCCATTTCTACACCATTCAGCCATCTTGTCTTGAACTGTTAACTTTGGCATTAATCTTCTGCCCTCTCCCCTAGCATGGGAAAAACTCCATATGGCCAAAAAGGCCAGGAAGGGGAGAGGAAAAAAATGTAACATTGTTCCTGGATGGATGGGCATGATTTGGGCATCTCATGATCACACGTTCAGAAGTAAGTGACCCAAAGTTTTGATTAGGCTCATACATATGTATATATAAAATAAAAGGCTTTTGGACTGAAGTCTGAAGCCTTTTCTCTCCCCCAAATTAAACCTTGGATGCATGCTAGCTAAAAATTAAATCTGGTGCTCCATACCTATTTTACACCCATTATTGTAAAGGATCTGTCTCCAATAACTAGAGATGTGTGATAGTCAATTGTATTTCACTATTGTTAGTCCGATACTGTTGACGAAAAACGAGTGAGTGGGACTCATAGACAGCCGGCAGATTTATTTCTGCTGAATTCTTTAGGCATTTACTTTAAAATGCGATAAATAGTCCACCTTAATAATTAACATTTATGTCGGATACATTCTTGAAGATATACGGTGATATAGGCACTAAAAAGAAATAATCAATTGAAAAATTGTATTGATAGAAAAGTATATTTATAAATAAAAATGAATTACTTAAGTTCTATGAATCTCAACCAAGAAACAACTTCGTCTATATATATTACTGATTGAGCTACTTGGAAAAAATGTCGAAAACTATATTTTTAAAAATTTAAATTGATAACATTACATCAAAGATTAATTATTTTTATATTATTTTTTATTTCCCCTTCCTTTCCTGCCTATTAGGCAATACGGGCGATTGCAGCAGTTGGTTTACTCATCAAGTAAAAATGCACTGCTGCAAGTAAATCTTCAATAATAATTCATTAAAAAATAATAAAACAGTGCAGCCATCACCAGTGCAGGTCTTAGGGCGCCGACCTGCAGGGACGTTGACCACTTCCTATTAATTAAAAAAAATACAAAACGTCTTAAAACAATTAATTTTAGCCTAACAATAGAGTAATATTGAATGAAAAATTCAAATATTACATAGTATAAAACTGCTTAAGAAATAAATTAAATTTTTTTTAAAGGGAGGGTGAGGTGACTATGTAAGACGAATATGGACCTCAGTAAGTTTTATATTTTTTTATGGAAAAAAAAGCTAAACGTTACCTTCGTTTTTTCCCTCTCCACCGCTACTACTGTGGTTGTAAAAATATTTATAAGAAAACAATTTGAGATTATATTATTTTTACCTTGAATGGCCATCCCAACCACAAACCCAGTAAGCGAACCCTGTATAACACAAATCTAAAAAATAGTAGCCTATACGTTATCCCACAAAACTCGATGAAATCTTTGAAAGTTGCGTCTCTAACACAGCACTGGATTAAAATTTTAAAATCAATTGAATTTTCAAAAAAATATACCTTTAATAGAATATAATGGATTTTAATATGAGTTTTTATTACATGCAGACAAGAAAAATAATCGATAAAAATGTACCTCTCCCATAGTTCATGTTAAACGGTAATGTTCCTAAAATGGGTAAGTGGGAAATTCATTTTCAACAATAGAAATAGTAAATTTATTTTCTTGATTTGCTCAATAGAAATGATAAGAAAACTATAATGTTTGTTAATATTAGGTATCACTAGCGGATCCATGATTTAGTTTTTTAAAAAAACATAACGATAATTGCGTAGGAAGAAAAAGAAGGGAACTAACTACCTATATGAAATATAGAGTTGAAGAGATCCTTTAAGTACTACTAAATGTAATTATACGAACAATAATACTTTTAGAGGTAATTATTAAATATTTTTTTCATAATCATGGTTTACTTACCATCCTTTTTATCTTTCTTTTCTGACTAGACGAGGGAAATCGTCATCTGTGATGACGTAGAATTCGGTTTCATTCTGTAGTTATTGTCTCAGAAGCGGTGCAGGTCTTGTCCACGATTGCACACATTAATCCCGATAATAGATTTAAATAATTAATTATTAACTAGTCCTATTTGGGAAAACATCGATTCGTGCACAGTTTTTTTCTTCAAATGAAAATGGCGAATAGATCCATTGTTGCACTATATTTATGTAGAGTGGCCTATAGGCTAACCTATGAAGCGTTGGAACAGGTGATGGAAGTTAACAGGGTACATTAGAAGCAAATCAACATTGCAAATCCACCATTAGAGGAGGCATTATGCAGATCTACACCTGCCAATGGCTGATAGTGGTGGGAGGAAGGGGGTAAATAACCTCTCTCATGTTATGAATGAAAATGGATTAGCCTTCTCTAGCAAATTGCAGCTCTGTCTATTTTCTGTCATTAGCTTAGCTATAACCGGCCATCACGCATCATAAACATTTTAAATTCAGTCTTTCTCTCTCAATCTTCTTTAAGAACGATTGCTTCTATTAATATAATTTTGTTGGATTGAACTAAATAATGCAGATTTCGAGAAAAATAATGATAGTAAGGAACCAACATGCTACAGTGGAATATATTCGTTTTCTTAAATCTTCTGTTGGATTCTATCTTTTGAATTGATTTAGAAATACGATTCGTAATTTTAAATGGCCCTTTTCTTACTTCATCAAGTTTATTTCGTTTGGTTTTTGGACATATCTTCAATCTTTTTTCCATTGATTTTTTATCCATTCATTCTTTCAGATTGCCGTTCTGATGGTCTGGACAAAGTTATTAGTTATTGAATTAAATAAATTCTGTCTTTTCACCCAACAATATTAAATCATAAATAAGCAAAGCCATAAACACCTTTATAAAATAACAAAAAAGTTGTGTATACAACCCGAAGTTTGAAAAAAAAAATCCTTCATTTAATATAGTGAGAGATTTATGCTCTCAGATAGGAGGAATAATCTGACTATTAAAAACCTAAGCTTTGGAGAACTAAACGCGCAACAGCTTTATTGATCAACTTTTGTATTGCTTTGAAGAGGACTGCTCCAAGGACACCGGCAACATACAATCCTACTGTCGACTCAGGAACATACAAAAGATGGGTGGATATAATCTCGGAAGAGGGGAAGAAAGGAATGCATTATGCAAGCTCTCTGGGTCCAGTCACATTCAATTACCGAATCGGAGGACATTACACATTCATATCCAAGGGCCGGGGTTAAATCACGGCTCTAGGTGCCTCTGCCGGTCCCCAGAGGTCTTCAAGGGGCATAGTGCCTGCAGGAGTGGATCCCTTGGTCGATAAACTCAGTACAGCCCGTGTCTCCGATCTGTAGGAATATATTTAGTAATTGACAATTACCATTATATGTATATATTTTTAATTTCTACATTTCAGAGTAATGTACATGTTTCTTCAACTTTGTCATTATTATTAAAGGGCTTTATTCCTTGAATAAAATTATCTTTTCATAAAAAAAAAGTTATTTGGATTCTGGGAATCTCAAAACGTATATTTCCGTTGAAAACTCAGATCCGATTTTTTTTCAAAATCGTAATTATTTCCTTTACTACAAATTACATATATATATATATATTGGGAAAAATGAAATTGATTGTGACTTTTTCTATTCGGATGTTTGCCTGTTTGCCGAGACGATATCAGTGCCGCCTTAGCTTGTGAGCAAGCTGCACTTAATGTAGCCCTCAACAATAAAGGTCAGATCGCCTTGGTGGTCCCTTAATTCAATATTCGGGTTCCTATATGGCTATGGCGCGGGCAATCTTAGGGCAACTCGCTTATTTTCTGTAGAGCATTTTATACAGCCGTTTAATACGAGAAATTTAATATTTCATTATAATATGTTTGTTTTCATTTTTTTTTCTTCCACTTTCACGAATGCATAGTTACGGGAAATATTGCGATCGTGAAAAATGTCTAAGTATTCAGCTCATAAAACTGTTTGAGAAGTTTTTCTTTAGTTATACCTTATAAATGAGTAAAATCTAAAAGTTTTATTCCAACTCATATTCATGGGTTGGAAAGGCGGTAATTCAGCTTTCCAGATTTTGTGCTCATATTTATTAAGATTGAAGTGGAAAGCAAATCGGTATTTACGAGTTTTTAGTAACTAATTAAATGGACAACGTTTGCCAATCTTCAGATTGAAATCGCTCCAATTACGAGAATTTTCGTAAATAAAATAGTTGTAGATTACGATGAGATGGAGCTATTTACGAAGTTTCAGGCGGATGTTAATAATTTGATAAGAAGGGGCCTGTACCACGGACTAAAAGAGTGTGTCTGTAGTATTCATACACCCTCTCACGAAATACACTTCAATAAACATTGAAATCTCAGCATCAGATGAAATTCGATACTTGG